GATTTTCTAAACAATACTTTGTAAAAATTATTTCCTATCAGACATTATTCTGTGATGTTTGAGTAGCTTTGCATTGATTCTTAATATGGACTGATCTCTGTGGACAGTCTTCTAAACATCAATATAAACAATACTGTGATAAATATCCTTGATGCTTAATATTTGTGAACGTCTACAAATATTTCCTTGTATATATTCCTTAACGTGGAACCACTGGGTTAAAGAGTAGGTGCATTTTTAAGGGTTTTTATAGTTGCCAAAGTACCTTTCAGAAATGTTGTGCTGATCTATATACACACTAACACTTATATAAGAAAAGTGATTATTTTGGTTGATGTGGGCAGTTGTCTTCCCTGCATCACCTGACTGGACCCTCGCCTTTCAACTAGTCTAGGGCATTTTCATGTGAATTGGTTCCTGAGTGTTCGGGAAGACACAGAAATTTCTGTGTCTGAACCAACCATTCTAATGCAACATCTGTCTGTCCATGCATTTTCTCACATACAGCTCTCTCAAAACCCCAAATAAAATAAACTTGGCCATAGAACTGAATGTTGTGCAGATATTTACATAAATTTTATTTGCATTGTTGCGATTCATTACTTTCTGTTCAAAAGCCCTCATTAGCATTCAGCATCACTCAGAACTAAAGCTTGAGGTCTTACAAGGACTTCAAAGAACTTTCAAATGATCTGTCTCCTCACTACCTATCTGAGCTTATTCCCTGTTAACACTTTCCTCCTTTATTCTGCTTCAGTAACACTAGCTGACTAACCATTCCTCAAACACTCTACAAATAAGCTTACCTCAGGACCTTTGCCCTTGTGGTTCCTTCCTCCTGGATTCTTTGTCCTTAGATGTCATGTGACACAGGTCCTCACTCGTTTCAAGCCTTCACTTAAATGTTACCTTCTCAGAGAAGTCTTTTCTACCCACCCAATCTAAAATCGCGATTCTTCCCCATCACATCACACACCCCGTCTATGCTTTCAAAAATTTTCTTAGTGCTTATGACTCCTTAACATGTCATATGTTTTATGTGTGTTTTTATTGTTTGTCTTTCTGGCTAGAATGTGAGCTCCACGACAGTAGGAATCATGGTCACTTTCGTTCATTGTTCTAGCCCCAGTTCTGATGACAGCACCTAGCACATAGTAGCTGCTCAATAAATATTTGCTAATAAGTGCTGTGTCCCACCATTACTTCCATTTGCAAATCTGAGAGACTGGGCTCACTGTCTATCGCAAGGATTTTTCTTCCTCTGAGACACAGTCCAGGTGATTTCTCTTCAGCCCTTCATATTCTACTTAAGAACCTCACAAGTGGTATGCTTTTCTATTTCATTCTGATCCTTTTCTGTAAAAACTATGCAACCAGGAAAAATGGTTTCAATTTTCTAGGTCAGTCCTTAGTATTTTTCATTTGTTGTAAAAAGAATATCCCTTTTCTTTCTATCTCCCTGTGTAGTTGGATTAAATGCAATAACATAAACAAAAAACATTTAGCATAACACAGCATAATTCATATTTAAAAAAACATATGTTCTCATTATTTTTCTTTAGAGTTAGAGGTTTTAGGGAAAAATCCTCCAAGTAATAGCTCACCAATGCAATAAGGTGGAGAGGCAGTAAAGATACTAAAAAAAAAATAAATAAATAAATAAATAAAGTGAAGTGTCTGCATTAGCTGTTAATGCAGTATGAATATAAATGTACCAATCTAACGTCTTCTTCACAGCCTTCACCTCCCTGCCACCTTCTTCCTGGGTGTCTCTTTCTAAGATTAGGTATCTTTGGAAAGATTTCTCCAAATGAAGCATCCAATTCTTTTCCTCAAAAGAATGTTCTGGTTGGTTTAAATGCAACCATTTCTCGGTCTCAGTGTGACGTCCGGATTTCCTGTCTTCTTAGATAACTGTTAGCCAGTTAATTATAGCCTGGGCAGTGTGAAGCAGATGTTTTAAGAACATCTTCGCAATGGGGCTTTGGGAGTCCTTAGAAGTTTGGGTCAGGGCGGCAGTGTGCCTGAGGGCTTTCCCCAACCAGAAGCCTACTTTGCACCTGGACAAGCCTGAGAGCCAGGGTGGCGACACAGTCTGTGTGCATGAACGTGTGAGCACACGAGTGTGCTTGCCATGCAGGTGGATCAGTACATTCTTTGGGTCTCAGGACGTTCAGAGGTATACAGAGAGACAACCAAAGTTTCTATAGCGACCATTATGGTCTTTCTTATCCCACTTTGGTCCTAACTATGGCTCCCTGTGTGGAGAATCCTGGAAACTGTCATTTCATCTGAATGTATCTTTTACATGTCACTACCAACAGTTCTTTTCCCAAACCCCCAAATGAATATCAAAATAAAATCAACAAGGCACTCAAATTACTAATGTTCCAAGTATAAACCTACAGTATCTACTTTAAGTACCTGAATGGATAATCCTTTTCATTGCCCTTAAACGTGAGTCAAAGTAATCTTATAGAACAGGCTGTTCATTTAACTTAACAGTCATTGGTTATAACAAAACAGCGGAAGGTTGAAAAGATTATAAATATGTAGTCACTATACAAAGATGCTTAAGAATCTCAGGAAGTATGCATAGTGTCAACTTACTTAGGCAGGACATACTGACCGTGCTTCACTAACTTGTTCTTGTGTCTTTCTTTAAGACTAGGTTTTATTCTCGCTTCCTCTAGCCCCCATCCCCTCTCTCCCGGTGGTATAAGAAGGGCAGAGGGCCGGCATCTTTCATGAGAGTCCGCATGGAGACGAGATGAAGCAGAGTGCAGTTAGAGCTTTGTTGTTGTGGTTTCTGTTTGCTTCTCTGAGACAGCAGGTCCTGAAGTCATTGGAAGGTTCATTTGTAGGTTCTGAGGCCATCTCTTGACAAGTTGCTAAGAGGCTTCATGGAGTTTAGAAATGTAGAGTTTGAACTTGAAATGATTGGAGTGCCTCTAGTGATAAACTAAACTTGATGAGACACACTTTTAACATAGAAGATGTACTTAAGCAGCTGCTTTCCCCCTCCCCCGCCTTGGGGTGGGAGAGGGAACAGAGGCTCCATAAAGGGGACCTCTCCCTTCCTCATGCGTCCTAGTAGCTTCTGCCCCTGTTGTCACCTCGCTCTGTCTGTATACCTTCCTTTAAGCACCTCACTCGACAGGGTTGCTTCTTGTCATCACACTGTTCTTGTCTCTGTCAGTTTTGGAGGACAGCTGAGGTCAGTACTGAGACATTTTTTAAAAGGCAGAGGGGAAAATGTTGCTAACCTTTCCAAAAAGGGGGCTTCCTTCCCTGCTTCATGTGCACCATAGGAAGAAAGGACAGGGGTATTGCATGACTGATGGAATGCCATTGCATAAAATGCCTGTTTTTTGTTTTTTTTTCATAGTATGAAAGTACTTGAGAATTTTTTGTTAAACATCAGAAACGTCTGCTCTGGTTACTTGCTGCTTCTCCTCAGCAGTGACCATATGGCTTAGCATCTTAAGCACTGGACTGTGACTTAGGAACTGTGTTTTAATGTTTGAGGGTCCATCTTCTGTTATTGATGCCAGCCGAGCCACCATCCATAAAATGTGAATAATAAACTGAGCTACTCTGGAAAGTAAAGAACAGTAATAAATTCCTCCCACCATGCTAAAGTGATATAAATGTATGAAAAATTATGATAGAAACGATAGTGGAAAGAATACATTCTGAGTCCTTAGGAAGATAGATGTTTTTTAATATTTTGGATTCCCCTGGACCCAATTGGTTTGACAATTAATCCTTTGGGGATATGTACGTGTATGTTTCTGTGTATAATATTAAGCCAGTAGTTCCAGAACTTTTCACTGTCAATACTCTTATCCACCTCCTCCAACACACATGCCTCATATTTAAAAGAGCTCTTAACCCCAAACTTGTGTTTACCAATAATAACAAATGCATTTGTCCATAAAAATAATCATTTTCAGAACTTACGGATATCATATAATAGCTGCTGTTATTCGGTTAGCAACTTGAGATAGAGAAAACTAATCTATCATTTTTGTTAATTGATGCAGGTTAACGGTGGCTAAGTGTCTGCTCTTGATGAAATCATCAGCATACAGTAATGTCCTTCCTCCCTCCGTTCCTTTCTTCCTTCCTTCTTATACGCCTGGCTGCCAGACTTTAGGAAGTTCAGGAAGAGCAGGCTGAGAGCAGTTTGACAAAGCATTGTTAAGTTCAAGTTCAGATGCAAGGTCTGTAAGCAGGGGTAGTTCTTGAAAAATTCGAGTTGATATTGTTCATATATTCCCCAAAATTTTTGGATTACTAATTTTAGAGAGTAATCCATAAATAACAGAAAATATTTCACAAGTAGCTGTTATTTACCATGGTAAAATAACTAGGTGAATTAAGTGAAGGCATCTTTACTAGGGATCTTTTAGTGTTTAACGTGTGTTGTAAAATTCTCAGTCATGGGGAGCCTGGGTGGCTCAGTCAGTTACGTGTCTGACTTCAGCTCAGGTCATGATCTCACGGTTCGTGAGTTCGAGCCCCGTGCTGTTGGGTTCTGTGCTGACAGCTCAGAGCCTGGAGTCTGCTTCAGATTCTGTGTCTCCCTCTCTCTCTGCCCCTCCCTGACTCACACTCTGTCTCTCTCTGTCTCTCAAAAATGAATAAATGTTAAAATTTTTTTTTTAATTCTCAGTCACGTAATTCTCCATTTTTCATGCCTTTTGATTCATAACTAAGGACATTAGAGAGGCCTTTCTTTTCTTTAGAAGAAGCATTACAATATATGTTATTCTCAGTTTGTATCCTTAAGTTTTAAAAATGTTGATGTGGTATAGATTGCTAATATATTTTTTTTCATTTTTAAATAATACACTTACACTATTTATCTATTCCTCATGCAGTTAAATTTGTTGAGAAACGGTGGGGTGGGGGGGGCAGGGAGAAATGCATACACTGAGGAAACATCATGATTTCAAGTTGAAATATTAAATGATACATAATATTTATTTCTCCAGAGACTGGATCCCCAATTACAGCCTCATGCATCGGATTAGGTAATTCTAAAACCCCTCCTCCAGGACAAGCAGGAAAAAGTGTTCCGGGATACAATGGTGAGAAATGATTCTGATCATTTGAAATATGTAAGGTTAATACATTTGGTATTTGTTCTGTGTCTAATGCGAACCAAAATGCATAGTAGGTACTTAAAAGCATTTGATTGAATGAATACTTTGTACTGAAAATAAATGCCTTGATATTGTTATTAGTCAATTTGATAAAAAATAAGATTGTTAACTTCCAAGGACATGTCCTACATGACTGTCATAACCAAGAAAATAATATTTATAAGGCACATTAAGAATATGGCTGTGAAATTAATATGTATGGAATATTTGCTAGGTATGGAGTACTTTGCATACATCATTTCATTTAATGATGAAGTATATTTAATTTAGAGGTATCATTACCATTTTAAAGATGAGTTAGCTGGTGCCCAGAGAGACTGAATAACTTTGCTGAGGTAACATGGCTAGTTAGGTGCTGTAGACAATGCCCACCATCATGTTTTATTTTTTTGTTTATGTCTTTGCTTGTTTTTCTCACAAAAGCTGTAGTTCTTTCCATTATATATATGCTACCTTTTAATTTAGGAGTGATGACAAATCTTCTGAACCTCGTTGGTTAAAGATAAAGCCTAAAGATTCCAAATAGAAAAATCATTTCATTCATGCCAGTGGTATGTGAAAATGAGATACAATATATTTTAAATATTTGTTTTGAGATTGTTGGTAGTGGTTATAATAGTTCAGAAATTCCCCTTGGGCTCTACTTTCTAGTTGTATAACTTTTGCAACAATTCACCTAACTTTCCAAAAATTCAATTTCCTTATTTCTAAATGGGAATAATAATACCACATGCTTCATAAGGTCACAACGAAGCATTAATGCAAGCTCTTGCCAGTAAACAGACTGAACTAAGTCTCACCTAGTAGTGTGCTGAGATTTCAGAGAAGCCGGACGAGGTGACTCAATTTAGACTTACACATTCATTTTCCAGACAAGGAAAATGAAGAACAGAAGTGATTTTATTTGCATAAGGTCACACAATTTAGCTTCATAGATTCATGAGGACCCATCTTTGGGTGACAGAATATGGTTCCTACATAGAGTTCCTATTTGCATGTAAATTATAAAATACAGAGATTTGTCCTTGCTTCTCTAAAGTAACATGTTAAAATAACATGCATTTTCTTTTCAGGACAATGATTAGTTAAGGAAATGGAGATCATTCGGTTTAGTCTAGCAGATGTATTTATAAAAAGACACTTAAGATTTTTTTTTAGAGCAGAAATAGACATTCTGTGAAGTCGGTGACTTTTCCAGGCATGGAAGGTGAACCCAGCTTTAGTGATATCCTCACTTTGAACAGTTCTGTCATCCCTATTCCTTTTATCAGAAAAAATGCTTTGTGTTGAGCCATTTTTAGGGGCTAATGTTTATGGGAGATGTTAAATACATTTCCCTTTCAGAATTTCAGTACCATTTTTATATCCAGCTATAAGAATGAGTTGAGCTTTGATGCCTCATGAAATTTCAGTATAGAAGTTTCTTGTTGTCTGTAAGCCAATGGCTTACAGACAGCATAGGTTAAACGTTAGAACTAAAGTATTTATAACCAAAGAAATAGTGACTTTATGACTCATGACTTTTGTGTTTTGTGGTTAGTCAGAGATTCAAAGCATAAGTTGTATCCACTTGGGAAAAGAAAGAAAACCATTTTTTATGTGAAAAATATTCAATGTAATGTAATGATTTCACATTCATTGAGTACCTTCCACAAGCTTGTCACTTTTTTTTTTTTTCAAGTAATTCTGGTAACAAACTATGAGAAAAGAATTACTCCCACTTTTTATATAGAGAAATTGAAGGGGTAATACTTGTTCAGGGTAAATTGAGTAAATTGACCACTGTGTTGGGATTTGGGGACAGTTACCCAATTTACTCAATTGGGTAAATTGAGTAAATTGACCCAGAGTAAATTGACCACTGTGCTGGGATTTGGGGACAGTTAGGCATGACCTCCACCCTTAATGATCTCACCATCTTATGAAAGGGATATTTACACCACTACTAATTGTCAAAATAGAATTTTAAAACAAAGTGCTCTGGGAACACAAAGAAGGGATGATTAATTTTTTCCTGGGGACAATGTCCTTCTTTTCTCATAGCTTCACTCAGTAGAATAACCTGGATGGATGAGGCTGCATACAAGATAAATTAGAGCTTAAAACATGATATATCCTCATTTCCAGTTTGCACTAGCGGTTGCTGAATAGGGATATAGGCTTCGGCCTCCTAAAATATTTCAGGATTGTAACAGCTTAGCACAGAAAGCATTGGGATAATATTTGGGAAGGTTAAATGGAGCTTTAAGGCTCATAAGTGGATATTCAGCCTCAAATTAGGAAAAAAAAGAGGTTTTCCAGGCTTTTAAATAGTTTATTTTTATTACTTGAGATATATTTTTTGGTGTATTTAAGAACTTGATTTGTTTCCTTTAAGTTTTGAAAAACTGGATATATTTTTAATGTTTTTGATAGAATAGAAGGATATGTTGAAGTGGATATAAACATAGATTATGAAATGAACAGCATGTTTGAAATACGATGTCTTTATTTAACGGAGGTTGTGAAGGAAAATTCATAATCTTATTAGGAATCAAAGCATATGCTCTTTTAATTTTTTGTAAGATGTTAGCATAGTGATATATGTTCATGGTTTCATAGGACTTAAAAGATACCTTTAAAGGCACAGTTTTGGGGGCTGGATATTGAAAATATGGAAAGGTTTAAGCTTTAAGGTTATGCATTTTTATTCAAATTTATATTTGTTTATATTTTACTTTGCAGTTATGATTTTGGATGACAACATGCAAAAACTGAAGGCTCGATGTTTAGGAAATATTGTGGTAAAGTAAGAAAAATTTGCAATGCTACTATTTAAAAGAGCAATTATTAGTATATAATATTAAGGGAAAAATGGAGGGACACCTGGGTGGCTCAGTTGGTTAAGCATCCGATTCTTGGTTTCGGCTCAGGTCATGATCTCGCCCTCTGTGAGTTCGAACCCCGTGTCAGGCTGTGTCCTGACAGTGAAGAGCCTTCTTGGGATTCTCTCTGTCTTCCTCTCTCTGCCCCTCCCCTGCTCTCTCTCAAAAATAAATAAATAAACTTAAAAATGGAGTGGTTGTCGTGACAGTACTAAAGAGGGGGTTGCAAAGTAAGCTTGTGCATTTTGTGAGAATACACAGTGTCAACTCTTATGGTTGAAGCACGGAAGCCCCATAAGGTAGAACAAATTTAGATACAATTTTTAAAAAGATAAATCCTGCATTTTAAATAATTTTTGATTATACAAGTAATGTGTAGGTAGTGAATTTAACTTAAATACCAAATATATAAAGAAGTAAATAAAGTTTCTATACTCCCACACTTTAGCAATACGGCATTAATTTTATAATAGATCTGACTTTTTACTTTTTGGCCAGCATTTTAGAGTGTTGAAACAATTTAGCTTATTCTTCTGTGCTGCTGTTTTTCCTTTACCCTGTCTCACGAGCATTTTGAACTTCAACTCTGCCTCTCAAAAAATGTTTATCCCCATTCTAGACCTTTTAGTCTTTTTTGAAAATTTATGATTATAAATAATGCTATATTGAACATCTTTTTTGTGTTGTCTTTTCTTTCTTTTTTTTTTTTTTTTTAATTTGTTTTTGAGAGAGAGACAGAGAGAGACATGAGCAGGGGAGAAGCAGAGAGAGAGAGAGGGAGGCACAGAATCTGAAGCAAGCTCCCGGCTCTGAGCTGTCAGTACAGAGCCTGATGCGGGGCTCCAACTCACGGACCGTGAGATCATGACCTGGGCCGAAGTCAGATGCTTAACCAACTGAGCCACCCAGGTGCCCCTGTGTTGTCTTTTCTTCTTTTCTGATAATTACTATAGAATTGAATAGATTTCTAAAAGTATAATTACTAGGTCAAATAGCAGCCTAATATAAAATCCATGATTTAGCAAGTATCACAATTCCTTGTCAAGAGTTTTCATCCTTGTTCATTTGGTAAGCAAAACATGTCAAAATTTGAAGTGAAAATGTTAAAAATTGTTTTGATTAAATCCATACTTTAAAATCGTTATGATAGTAGAAGCTGAAATGCAAGTAGGTTAAGTTGAGGGACACCCAAGATGTGACATTGTAATAATTGATATAGGTTGCTGGAGTGCCTCTGATTAGCATGATACTGGCCTCTTTACTCATATGGTTTAAGTAGTTGAATTTGGCAGAAGGAGCTGTTTTAAATAAAGAACGTTCTATGTCAAGCCTTGAAAAGGATTCGTTTTCTCATTTATTTAGAAGAATTCTTATGACTTGACATCCTTAGATTGATATGAAATTGTCTCAGGTGAGGTCTCTGAACTGCAGGATACCAAACACATACTCTCACCCGTTCCCTAATCTGAACCTAAATCCTAGATCCGAGAGAAAAAAAAAAAAAGGAAGATATGGTATATTTATACAATGGAGTATTACTCAACAGTGATACAGTATGAGATCTTGGCATTTGCAATGACATGGATGGAGCTAGAGAAAACAGTTTTTTTCCCCCTCAGGTTAAAAAAAATTACAATTCTGTGAAATTTAAATGAAAAACAGTAACTTTAAAAAGAATGTATTTCTTCAGGTCGAGATACTTTGGCCTTATAGAAAGCTAACCGGAGATATACTTGATGATACACTTCTCAGATTCTCATGTTATCAGTAAAAATGTAAACGTTATATTACTCTTTTCAAGTTTAAATTTTAATAAATCTTGTTGGCAAGATGGAAAAATAAAATACTGAATATGCCGTTTATAGTCATAATTTTTCTGAGCCAGAATCCATGTTCTGGTTGAATATCTGCTTGAAATATCTGGCTGAAATCTGACCTCTTGGGGGGGAAATGGTAGGGATGGGAGGATGGCGTTCCAAGGAACTAATAATCTGAACAAGATCGTGGGTGCATGTTTAGCTTACTTATGGAAGCACATGGTTTTTGAGAGCCTTTGAAAGCACTGTAGCGGCATACATTTTATATAACTGCCTGACTCTATGTGAGTCATCTATTTCATAAAGCGACTCTTCCTGTAAGATCCTAGAGGTGGCATTTGATGCCAGCACTTATACACCCATCTGTGTTCTGTCATTCTCATTATTGGTGGCTTTGCCCTACTTCCATTCAAAAATAATAAAGTGTAGCAATAACCCACATAAACTGTATTTGTTCTGGAAGCCATGAGTATTACTTCAAGTACTTAAAATTAACACAATTGCCTTAAGTCATTCTATGGTTTAAATTGTCACCAATTCAGAATTATTTTCTTCCCTCTGCATTCCTAAACAGGGAATTTTATTATGCTCATGTGGATTCTGAAATTTCTATGTGAACTATTTGGAGATACACTATATTATGACATGCAGTGGACTTTGATCCCTCCCATACATTAATGGTGAAACTAGATGTTTGAAAATATTATATATATATATATTATTGTATTCAAAAGGTTAAAGTAGAAAAAATAGGAAAAAAGTTGCCACCAAAATCCCTTTTTTCTTAAAGAATAGTTCTTGAAATGTAATTTTAGGAACTTATTTTTATCTGTGAGAGCAAGGATTTCCTTTTGAAACCTACATCTCTAGAGGCCATTCTATCCTAACCCACCAACCTCAAAATTATCCGTGCATCTGAATGGCTGCCCGCAGTATGCATAGAATGTTTTCATGTTTAACATCTATCCTTAAGACTTGTTTGTGTCCATCTATAGCTGTTCTATGTGCCTTGAGGGGATACATTATTCATCCAGAATGTGAAATAGCCAATGAATGCTTTTTAAGAGCTCATAATAAATATATGTTTAGTTGAATTAAGGGAGAGAAAAAAAACACAGCTTTTTGACTTAATGAAAATTATTTTGGTTTTAAAAAGGAGTGTGTAATTTGGGAGATAAAATTCTTTCTGTGTTGATCACATTCTAAACGGTCTGTGATGTGAAAGCAGGCTTCTTTCCAGAGATTAGCTACATGGGCCCCCAGAAAAACAAGGTGGCATGTAAAAGGGATTATACATGGTGAGAAGGGTCCACAAAATATCTGAGATTCTAAATTTTATTTATTTATTTATTTATTTATTTATTTATTTATTATCTGAGATTCTAAATTTTATTTTATTTTATTTATTTTAATGTTTATTTATTTTTGAGAGAGACAGAGACAGAGCGTGAGCAGGGGTGAGACAGAGAGAGAGGGAGACACAGATTCCGAAGCAGGCTCCATTGCTCTGAGTTGTCAGCACAGAGCCCAAACAGGGCTCGAACTCACAAACCATAAGATCATGACCTGAGCCGAAGTTGGACTCAACCGACTGAGCCACCCAGGCTCCCCTGAGATTCTAAATTGAAAAACAAAATGTATTGACCCTCAAATTTGAAAAACGGAACAAAATTAATACGTATTTCATTAAATATCTTTGAAATTTAACATCCTAACAACTTCATTGTCAATTTAGTCTTCATAAAGTTTTCATTTCATTTGCAAACAATTTTTAGGTCTTATTTTCTTACTTGGCATGATTTCCGAATATGTACAGTGACTGCTGACAAATAGTAGCCAATCGTAAACTAAATGTGTGGCTTCTTGCCAAATAATTTTAACAGCAAAATTATTACTTTTCTTCCAGAAAAAGTTCTAGTTTCTATGGGGTATTCCTATGCTTTATTATTTGTGCATAGATATGGGGTGAGGCCACCAGCAATAAGAATAATTAAGGTCTATGAGGAACTTAAAACTGAGCTGGCATCCAAAGCCAGCACTGGGAGTAATCCCTGGCCAGAGATAGATGTCCACTCTCAATTATTCATGCCCATGCTTTTCTTTATTACTTTGTATAATAATGGAGTGGGAGCAGTTTCAAAGAGCAGTATTCCCTAATGTTATTTATGTTCACTAATTATACTTATAGTAGTATAACCAAGAATGCAAGGAAAATCTGCATAGAATATTTGCAATGTATGGGGCTCAAACTATGTTAAAGTAAGTCAATAAAGAAAATGACTCATTGTTTTAGTCCCAAATTTGTTTGCTTTTGTAAGTACTGCTATAGCTTCTTGTTTCACTATAAACTCTGTTATGAACAGTATAAATAACATTGGAAACTATCTTTCTCTGACAGTTTCTTTAAAATCTGAAGCTATAATCATATTTTTACCCTTTTCAAGATATTAAGTGTAATGATTCATATTATCATATTAAGATGATTCACCCTAAAATGAGAAATCATGGTATGTGGAAATGTTAAAAAGAAAGCTCTTGTTCCACTTCGTTTTTTCCATTTTCTTTGTTAATGCTTTTTAGAAACCGCTGTTTTGCTCTCCTGGGGATCCTTTAACTGGAAGGTAGATATTTAAGTGATTCCTAAACTACTGCAGACTCTAGGATGTAATAAACATGAATCCAAGGCTTTTGCAGATTTCTTGCATTCCTAGGATTTTTTTCCTTTCTAGTAGAAGAGAAAACTACATGTCTGCCTGGATGTTAGAGAATTCCTTTGATTTTGAAAGCTACGCCAGGCAGTTAATTTAGCGGGAAAGTTGTGGCATCTGAATTGCTATGAATACAGGATGTTCATGCATTTGGGGAAGTGTTCCTGCAATTGTGTCCAAAGCTCTAAAGTGCAGAAATAAAACTGAGTCACTAATGTCCAAGCACCCAGAGCAGGGCATGAAAGAAAATTTTCATTGCAATTGCCTTCCTCGGTACCACAGTGCTCACCGTTATTAAAGCCATAGGTCTCTGGCTACTATAATGAGTAGGCAAGAGTTGATCATAACCAACTTGCACTGACTAATAAATTGTTTCCACAGTATTCAGTTGTCTAAAAA